ACTAATAGAACTGTCTTGAATTAGATATTTTAAAGTCCTGGAAAATAATCTTTTATAGTAAAAGTTCAACAATTAAATATAGTGACTCGAATAGAACTTAATTTTAATAAAATAAAATTAAAATTTTTTAATATATAAAAATGAAGACAGAAAAAACGATGAGAAAAATACAATATAAAATTTAAATAATTGTTTATTACATAAAACATTAACTTTATTAATTATATATGTGGACATTGTAAATAAAGATGCGTTGTATATTGTTTGCACAAGCTTTTTGCAACGCAATTAAAAATTAATTTTATGGATTAAAAAATGAGAACTCATCTCTTTTGTCAATTTATTTATATTTTCATATCCTTATTTGTAAAAAATGTTTGGTGTACATTTTAAAATAATGACAAATGTAGCATGCTCATTATTACATGTGATATTCTAGGATTAGTATAGTAAAAGAGATAACGGAAACTTGTTTATAGTTTTCTCGTTTAATAGAAAAGATAATTTAGTAAACATTTTTTTGTATCTAGCTTAATAAAATAAATTGGAAGTAAAGATAAATCAATCATATTACAATTCTGCATTATATTTCGAAGAATAGAATAGAATTTCAATATTTTTATATTTAATGTGAACTAGAAGTATAATTCTCTTTGATTATAAAAAAAAACGATGTAGCCTGGATTATATTTCGTCAGAATCACATCGTTGTAGTTAATTGCGACGGAATACTAACGTCAGCGTCATTGTACGGATCACCGATTAGAGTCGTGCTTTAACATGCACGGGTGTGCCTTTCGCGCCTACTCTCGGCCTTGAGCCAGGAGTCTGGATTACTTGCAAGAGAACGAGAGAATTGTGATTTTAGAATTATGATGAGAGATCGAGAGAATAAAGGAGAGAAAGAATACGCGTATGATGGAAGAAAAAGATGAGAAATCCTGACTAAATTTGAACGTAAATTGTATATAAATGTAATTTTAAGAAAGTAAATATGCAATTAACATACACCTGTAAATCAATTATTTAGCTGAGATAAAAGGTAAATTAAATTTTTATTTTATTTTCTTATAGAACATATTTTGTGTGTTATTATTTCAATATTAGTCATTTTCATTTTGTTTCAGTCTTTATCTTTATTAACTAATTTACAGATCTGTTTTACAGTTTTATAGATCTGTAAAAAAAATTAGCGTGATATTATTTATTTATTTTTTATTTATTTTTACGAGTACAGACATATTTAATCTTAATTTGTCAAGATAAAATAATCTTGATTCTGAATTCCTTTTCAGTTTACATAATCGTAAAATATAATGTAATGAAAAAACCGGAAATTTTAAATTATGAAGATGTATTACATATTAAAACATTTTTTTAAATTCTTCGGATCTATATATAAATATATCAGATTAAATAAACATTTTGTTTTTTTTAATATAATTTTTATAATTTTACATATAATTTTTAATGAATATTATATGTATTATATAAAATAATGAGAGATATAATACTTTACAATTAATGTAATTTTTTAAATTAATTCTTGTGTTAAAAAATAGAGATTTCAAAATTTATTATGTAAAATCATAAAAATCCAAAACGTGTAATTGTATTGATAGATGCATATAAATATTACGTAAGAAAAATAGAGAAATATTTATAATAGAAAACACTTTTTACTGTAGATTCAATATTTTAATATATCTTTTCATTAGAATATATATATACATATATATATTGTATATATATATATGTATATATTCATATATCCGTAATCCAAATTTTATAACAATTTATAATTCAAATTTATAACTGTTTTGTTTTCTCTTGTATCCAATACCTGTACATATAATCCAAATTTCGACAATTTTCTTACTTTGCGCAACTTCTGTTTGCACAATGTTGAAAGTTTTTATTCTTTTATTATTACTGTCTTTACATTTTCCTTTTTTACACGATAAATATGTATATTGTTATTATTGTTTTATAGAAAATTATCAAAGTGATATAAAGCATAATAATATAAGATATATATAATATCCCAAGTATCAAGGTGACATCTTAATAACGTCAAAAGACGTCTTATTGTCAATAACGTCGTTAATGATAAAAATGACGATTTAATAAGACATTATTGAAACGTAATTTGACATTGTCTTGTTATTTGAGATATGAACAAAATTTCTATAAATATATAAGCAATTTTTTATCATCTACAAATTTGGTTTTTGTTGATTATTATTATTCTTTTTCTTTACATTGTAACAATTATTTATGTAATATAAATTATACTTTTAAACAAAAATCAAACTTCAGCTTGTTATTGAAAATAATTAAAACATATGAATTAACGGCCAAAGACAAACATTAGAAGGAATCAGAAGAAATTTATTTCAATTAATTTTCTAACATTATAGCGAAACTAGTTTCGAACTTTCGATTTTTATCAATCGTAATTAAATTAATAAATTAACATTAACCTTTATGTAGTTGGTACGAACATTATATAATTAATAAATAATAATAAAAAGTTTTATAAACTAAAAACGGAAAAATTTCTAAACTTCATGTGATTAATTCTTTACACATGAAGTAAAGACCAATATAATAAAGTACAATTAAGTTAAAGCAAATCGCATGGTATCAAATTTAAAGTTTTATATTGGCACGTTCCAAATTCGAAATTCCGCAACATTAAGAAATTAACAATAGTGTCATTTTAAATCTGATCGCGGTGAACCAATTCACAGTATACATACGTTGATGTCTCTAATAGCGGAATTAACTTTTAAAATGTATATCCTTATATTGTTCTTATATTTGTTTTATTAATATTTATATTATTACTTGTTTATTTATTACTAGTAATATTTGTTAAAAGTTTAGTTATTAAAACACTAATTTTTGGACACTAATTATATGCTTCGTTCTGTTTATAATAAAATGTACTTATTAATATTCATATAGTTATAAACGTATATTCTCACGGTGTGTTGAAATTATTTGTTTTATTAAAAGTGTTAATGCAAATTAGATAACCCTGATTCATTTCTCATGGGAAAGTCGTTTGAGAAAATCGTCGACTAATTGGACGACGAATAATTATCCAAAAAATTAACATAACAAAATATATTGATTATGCCACTTCCAAGCAATAACATAACCAACACTCGGTCCGCGTTTGTTTCACGTTCGTTTACACTCAATTCTTAGTTTAAATGCCTTTTTGAATCGTCGCAGCTTATATTTTAACAAATTGTAAAAATAGTTTTGATAAAGATTATTGCATATCATATAAAATACTAGAAATATTATTCGCGATTATTCGAGACAATGTATAAGCGAGAGATATTTATGCCTATATAAAATAAAACATTAAGAGTTGTATTACAAACGTAAAATGTTGCATTTAATACAATTGTAATATATACAAAATCGTAATTAATAAAAATGTTGTGAGAGTCAGTATATCTCAACTTCTTTAATTTTTTGTTTTTTGTGCTAAATATTAAAATAAAACTTTAATAAAGTAAAATCTATTTAAAATTAACAGTGTATAATTTTATAATTTATTTATTTCTGCAAAATTTAATTTTCAAAAATATTTTTAATCATTTACGACTATATTTGTATATATTTTGTAGTTACATATGCTATTAAGACTGTTATGCTACTATACATACGCTATTACATATGCTATTAGATTGTTAATATTTATAATTTAAAATATATTTAAATATATTTAAATATATTTTAAATTATAAATATTATTTCTACTAAAAAAATGAACTTAACCAAAGAATTTACAATTTAAAACAAGCACATTTTATGAATACTCTATCTAAAACTCCATAATTTAAATATAAAACTCTATATAAAACTCCATAATTTAAATTTCTATTATGATACATTAGATAAAACAAAAGATTATAAGAATTCAAAAAACATATTATAAGTTAATTATTAAACAAAAAAATTGTATAAAAACAAAGGTAATCATTTTCCATAGGTTTTTTGAGTATTGAATACGATTCTGTTTATCAAATTGTTCTATCACAATTTTGAGAAATTTCAATTAAAGTTGTAAAAAAGGGCTATTTTATGAAATTTGGTACAATTACAATATGCGACATGTTGAAGTTTAATTGCAATTATAATTAAATATGTTATTAGAATTCTAAACTTTAAAAGCAATTTGTTATGCCGATTATTGAAATAATATTTATGATTAATAGGATCTATTGCATCAAAGTTACCACAGTTACATATGCTATTAAGACTCTGTTTAAATATATTTAAATATATTTTAAATTATAAATATTATTTCTACTTAAAAAATTTTTTTAGTGAATACTAATCTAATGTCAAAATTAAATTCAAATTGGAAATCAGTATGATCACAATACCAAATTAATAAATGGTCGAATTTTTGTAATTAATGTATAGGAATTTTTTATACAAAATGTACATAAAAATGTAAATAAAAAATGTACATAAATGTACACAAAAATGTAAATAAAAAATGTACATAAATTTAAATTTATTTATTAACTTTAATGTCAGATTAGTATTCAATGATCTGGAAAAGCCTTACATTTGAATAACAATTGAAACATATTAAATCCTTAATAATCTATCAAAGTCGCAATTTTTATATAATGAACTCTGTATTAATTGTAATTATTGTAAATATTTTTTAAGCAAATTTCTTTTAAGGGCTGAGAATCCCAACACCATATTTAATTTTGATTATAATAAAACTTCAATATGTTATATATCATTGCTTTAAAATATATTGTTATCATGTAAAAATACACTAAAATCGTCCTTTTTCGCAATTTTAATCGCAGATTTTACAAAATTAACATAATAAAGCAATTTCGTAAACGGGATCGTATTCAGTGTCCAAAACTCTACTGAAAACAATTATTTTTGTTCTTGTGCTCGACAAAAGTTATTTTTTGTTGCATAATATTATTATACTCTCGAAAAGATAAAATTTAAATTGTTTTTTTACATTTTTATATTATATGTAGAAAATTTCGGATGCAGTGCTTCCGAAATGCTGGTTGGTATGACATATTTGTCCAGGCTTGCCTGGGTACAGCGAGGGTTGCCCTCCTTTCTCTGACCATGACCCACCCCGATAGCCCCCAGCTAAATAGTAGCTCTCAGCCCCGTTTCAATGCTCCCCCGCGTTCGTAACTATCCCGACATGCGCAACGCGTTCTCGCGTATATTGTGTGCGTATGTGCACGTGTAAGATGCCTCGTATTCATTCGCCAATTTCGCACAGTATGTAACAGGTGAATGAGGTCAAATAGTTTAGTTATTCCTACTCACCGATTGCTAGGAAATTCTTTTTTATTAGATACTGTGCTCTCAGTTTTAAATATCATCTTATGTGTGATTACAATTGTTGAAACTAAGAAGTGTAACAAACTGTATTATCCAAAGTATAAAAAAATTTCTAATAATAATACAAATACGTTTTAAAGTTTGTGAAATCTAAATAGTTTAAAATTTAAAGAAATCATTAAAATATAGATTTTTTAAAAATGTTACTTGGAAATTTACTAATTAAAGTTAACGATGAAAATTTCTAACTTATAATCTAACTTATAATCAACGCACTAAAATGTTTAAACATGATCTAGGTCAGTTCCTTCGAATCTTGCAGCTAGTTATGTTAATTCTATATTGCATTAATATAACTTCACCTTTTTGTTTAAGTTGAACTATAATATGAACTAAATATAGTTAAAGAGAAACTGGTAAATCGCTCTACTTTAACTAAATCATACTATTGGTGAAACTCAGAATCGATTATAAGCACAGGAGCTAGCGTGCAGGTTTATTCAGCCACAAAGCACACTGCGGTACAAGGCGCGCGTTGACAGTGAAAGTTCCAAAAACGAATCCACTTAGCTTCGGCAAGTCGTTGCTATTGGTGCCGCTAGCTCTCTCTTGTGTCTGCCGTTCCACTCTCAACTCTCAAGCGACTCCACCACGATCCGCCTGGCCTCAGTCGAAGGTGAACCGTCGGAGTCGTAACTTCAACGCTCGTTGCGTCCCTCATTGCGGCTTTCAATTCTGTCATTGAAAGTTAATGAATTTCGGATAATAGATGTGCGTATAACAATATGTTATGTGCGAATAATCGTATGAAAGTGTTTGTGTCGATGTGATCATTTTGTGAGCGATTATGCATTATTGTAGGTATCTAGAGTCAACGAATTAACAATGAAACATAGCTTGAGTTTCAACAATCCAAAAATCATACATCCAAAAATTAAAAGATCTGAACGACCTTAAAATCTATCGTACTGTCGCACTTAACGACTAACCTATCACTTTGAGGACTAAATTTTACAGTGAAAGACAATGATATTGTAAAATGGCGATACGTTGTATCGTTGTATGCGCGCTCGCGCGGCGAGTCGTGATGCGTTGATGGCGTCGGAGCCATTCTTCTGTGCGTGTCTGTTGAGAGAACACGTGCGTGTGTAACGCGTTACACCCCCACTAGTGAACACTCACTGCAACGCGATGATGATGCAGCAGCAGCTGCTTCGCTTAGGATCTTGGCTGACCTGAATAACCAAGGAAAAAAATGGACATTCGTTTACTGCATTTTTTTCTTCTCTTTCGTTTTATCCTCGATTTTATCTCGCATTTCTGTTCCAATTGGCACATAATAACATAAGAATTTCGAAAATTTATAATATGTAGGTATTCTCTTTTCGAATCTCTTAATTTTTCCGTTCTAGTAATTTATATATGATATTTGAATATCTATGGTTTGAAATTCTTAATTTTACAATTCCTTATTTTATAAAAAATATAGTAAAAAAAAAAAACAATGAAACAAAATACCAAAATATAAGGAAATGATGAAAGTAAACAAAGAATGGTAGATTTGAATATATGTATGTGCATATATTTTGAAACCATTTGTTCAAAATATTAAAAATACAAATACGAAATAAAATAAAATAAGAATTACATAATTACATTTATTATTTATTTCTATTTGTAATATAAATCTGTATTTTGGCACATATGTGTTTTAAAAGTACACATTAGATAGTTTCTAATAATTTTGTGTGCGTGCATACATATGCACACTTGCGCGTGTATATGTGTATAACAAATTCATTATTTATTTTGTGTCATGTGATAATTATGATAATCAATCATGATAAACAACTTATTATGTCCTTGATAAATGAGAATAGAAGTACGACAGAAAATAACAAAAAGTAATAAAAAGAACAATTAAATAAATTATAACGCATAGATAATATATTTATACAAAGATATATTAATAACAAGAAATACATCAAGAGAAAAATGGAGCTATGGAGAGCAAAGGATGTAGTAATCGCAAATGGAAAAGTGGAGCGAAGAAAGATGCTGACCTCGATACTTCTTTCCTTATGTTCTATCATATATAATTTCCATGAGAAAAGATCACCATAAAATTTATTTCTGTTATTACATCATGTTATTTTAAAATAATGGTATGTTACTCTAAAATGTATTTTTATATAAATTTCTTTATATACTTACTAGACAAACTAAAGCATTTCACATTTTTAATTATAAACGTATTTATGTCAGGAAGTAGTTGAGAAACCTGCTTTTCTGGAATTAAAAGAATTCGGAGAATCAGAATATAGGAGACTATAAAAGAAAGTTAAAAGAAAATTTTCGACAGGCATTTGAAGGTTACATAGATATTTTTTAATATTATATTGAAGCAATAATTTTCTCTATATATGTATATTGTACTAGAGAATAATAAAATAAATTTTCTTTACGATTTTTTTTGAAAATTTAAAAATGAAATAACAGAATTTTATTTAAAAAATAATATAAAATTGTAATATATATAAATGTCTGTGCTAATTATATGTTATAAATTGTATTATATATATATATATATATATATATATAATAATTGAAGATAACAATAATATTATGCTATGCTAACTTTTAATTGTATAAATTTTAAAATTTTTCCTAATATAGAAGGATTTTTTAATAGTAATTTTTGAAAATTGTGTGTATATGTTTTCATTTATCTTTACTATTATGAACAAATATTATGAACAAATATTATGAATGTTTATTACATATAAATTACGTAATATACAAAAATCCCAAATAGTTAAATAAATTGACAGTGTGCATTTATATATTTATTTAAGCAACTATGTATTTTTGTACAATAATTTGTGTACAAAAATATGAAAATAAAGTCATCGAAAAATGAATATTTCAGGAGGTATTTCATATTTTATATCAAAATATTATGTAGAATAAAATATAAAATACTTTGTAAATTACTGATTTTTTAAATTATTTAATTATTTTTACATACAAAGAAATATAATTAGAGAATAATTGAATATGTAAGAAAAATTGTATGGTTTTGTTTAAAAAATATAAATGATTATATCTCAAATGTATAGAAATAGTATTAATATTACAATTTTTAAATATACATATATGTTGAAAATTTATGATTTATGAGAGAGTTATTTATGATTTGAGAGAGAAAGAGAGAGATAGAGGATATGATACATTAAATATATTATTTTACATATTTTAAATGCCTATTATTTCTAAATTTTTATATCTGTTCTCAAAAAATTTGTGTAATACTTATTTAGCAATTACGAGATTAATATATACATTGAATATCTAAATAAAAGGTGCTTTTCGGTACATTTCATACTGTATGCTATTTCGAATCATCACTGAGCAGAGGTAAAATAATCGAATGTTTGCTTGCTTTAATGACAGTAGGGGAACTCTGTTAACTTCAATTAATTTAACAATAAATAAATTTTAAACTTGTTCCAAGTTAATATTTTGTGAACTAAAAAATATCAATAATTAAGTATCAGGATAGGACCGAAGAATGTTACAAGTAATTAAGAAAGAAGAACGCCAACATGGTTAAAGCGGATCTTGCTCGATAATATTCTAATGTGTAAAATATGTAAAAAATATCAAATAATTTTTATTTACAAGTTTTATCTATAAGAAATCTGTAAGAAATTTGTTAAGTATTCTTCAGGTGTTTTATTTACGTATTTCTCTATTTTTTATATTTTTATCATACTGTGCACTCAAAAGTTTATAAAGTATTTATTCATCCAGCTATTTCTTTTAAAATCTTTTTTAAATAAAATTTCTAAGTGAAATAGAATAGATTCTATAATATGCGTAGGTTTTCATTTGTTAATTTTTAAGGTCTTTAGGTCTACTTGGAAAGTTTAAACAAGTCTTATACTTGATTTTTGGATGTTTAGATTTTTGAATTTTTGAATACGCTATTTTGTAAATTGGCATATATACATATAATATGAATGTATAAATATGCTTAAATTATTTTTTTCTTCACGAGAAATGAAATGCAAAAAATTCATTACATATGAAAAGAAGAACGAATGTAAGATCAATTTTTAGCGCTAATCTCGATTTCTCTTTTCTTCAGAATATTGTATGAAAAAAATTGTGATTTTGTGGTTTTCATCGATTTTTAAAGGACATGAAGAAAAAATCTTACATTGACAGTTTTTATAGACGATATTTTTATCCATGATTGTTTTGTAAATCTTACATAGAGATTATTAAAGACAATTCTTCATTAATCTCAAAAACATTGAAAATACGGACAATACTAGTAATAGAAATTAAGAAGAGAAGAGTTAAAAGGTGGTGGTGAATGGTGAGATGCTGCAAACAATGCCACGGATACCTGTCGCAGCAGTACGGAGAAGGTGGAGCAACAAGTATATTGAAAATCTTCAAGAATCTAGTCCAGAAGTGTCGAGTAGTGATACATTTTCGTCAAGTTTTCAAGCAGATTCGAGTGCATCAGTGCGTGAAGAAGATCTTCAACTTTGGGATTTGGATCTTCATCGAGGACTCAAGACAGAATCTGAAACTGATCACTACCGCACCATCACCACCAGCGCTGCAGAATTAATTAATAACGATCAACCATCTTCACCTTTCTCTGCCTCTATCCAAGGTAAATTCAATCAATGACGAAACTGTTGTAAAATTCCTACAATAGCGAGTATAATTACTATAAAAAATTATGAAAACTTGGTACAATTTTCAAATTTTGAAACTTTTAAAAATTTACGTTCCTCATTTTTGAAACTTTTAAATATTGATGAAAAGTGCTTTTTTTACTTGATTTATAAAAAAAATTTAATAAAAAATTTTTTCAAGAATTATACATGTTAGAAAACACTTTTATACCTTATTATCATATTTTATAGGTATATCATTTGTCATATTTTGAAATTGTAAGTGTAAAAGGGATATAAAACTGATTATTTTTTAGAATGTTTAGAAAGTTTTTTAGCTGATTATTTTAAACTTGCTTAAAGAACTTATATATATTTTTATTCTTTGGTAATAAGTTAATTTTTTTTAAATTAACATTGAAACACTTCACATTATATGTATGTAGCAAAAAAGAAAGATAGAACTGCATAATCGTGATTAGAGAGCCTCGAGGAGAACCTCTACTCAGAGTGGCGCCATAAGAGGAGTTACGCCATGTTTAAACCAAATCCTGTGAGAGAGAAAGAGAATATATCTCACTCAATCTATCAAACAGTCTATCTCAGTCTATCCTACACATAAAATATCGGAAATCAAAAGTGATAGCCGTATGGCGCCACTCTGATTATATAGAGGCTCTCTAATCGTAACAATCTCATAATGCCGATTTTAATAACATATGTTGTCAAGGACATAACTCTAATTGTAAGCAACATTTAAGAAATTTTTGCTGTCGCTCGGCGTCTATTAAAAAATTATTAATAAAAATTAATTACTCTCTAGTATTTCGGACACGATGCAGTGTACATTTACATACGATTTCGACTTCATATTAGAAAATAAAAGGAATATATTTCATTTTCTAATATGAAGTCGAAATTGTATGTAAATGTACACTGCATCATGTCCGAAATACTAGAGAGTAATTAATTTTTATTAATAATTTTTTAATAGACGCCGAGCGACAGCAAAAATTTCTTAAATGTTGCTTACAATTAGAGTTATGTCCTTGACAACATATGTCATTGAAATCAGCATTATGAGATTGTTACGATTAGAGATGTATATATATATATATATATATATATTGTTAAATATATATGTACAATATATACAAGATGCTCACAAAAAGGTCGGGACGGCGAATTAGCTCGGAAGGAAGACGTTTTACAAAAAAATCTTTCAGACAAAAGTTATAGGGCTTTAAAAAATCTATTTACTGGTCTTATCGGTTTGACCTTGGGTGATGTCGCCAAGGTCACTTTAATTTTTTTTAAATGGAACACCTTATTCTTGATACTAGATTCCAATAACTGGTCAAGAACTTTCCAAAGCACTATAATAAAGTATTTTTTGATTAAGTAAATCTCGTGTTATGAAGCTTGAAAGTTACAGTACCATCGGCATTAGCATTATCCAAGGGGTCTGAACAATGGCTAAAACTTTTTGAATATTGTTTAGAATCATGAGCTTGAATATATGTCAAAAGATCATGACTATTGGAGGTTGTTTCTCTTAAAAAAATAAAAATGTTCAAAAATGAAAATAAGAGCAACAACCTTTAATGGTCTTTGCCCTATCCTACAATTTTTGTTAGAAACATTTTTTTTAAAAACGTCTTCCTTCCGAGTTAATTCGCCATTCTGACCGGTCCCAATCATTTTTGTTACCCTGTGTATGATATATACAGGGTGTCTATAAAGTCTGACCCAGGCCTAATATCTTGGAAACGACTTTAGATATGGAAAAATGTTTTAGACAAAAGTTGTAGGACATCAAGGGGGACATATGATGAAAAAAAATATATATATATATA